TTCCTTATCGTTGGATTTTACACACTACCACTTCCTCTGTTCGACAGGCTTCAGAATTTTTATAAATTCTTCATACACTTCCAGGTATTTGCTTACCAACTTTATTGGGTATTCCATTACAATAAAGTATTACTCATTTATTCTTTGCAAAGTGTGTCTGAATTAATCATTTACAAAATTTGGCGTGAAGCCTTTGAAATTTTTGCTTTATCACTTCCTTCAAAAATATAAATAAAAAGGGTGTTTAATGCATTTCCGATTTCCTTTTACGTCTCACATTGAACAACCAAGGAAGCTTTGAAACGATGAGTAATTATAATGAAATAGCTACCTGAATAAATAAACCAGAAATTTATTGATATCTTTATATCAAATAATACAAAGAAATTGGCGACAGAACATAAGAAATAGGGGAGGGTATGCAGAATCGGTACCTTTAGTTTGGTTAGAGGTTATCTATTGACACATTTGGTATTTCAAGTGCATTTTCATGGAATTTTTGGTAATTTGAGATTTTTCGAATTCGATTTTCAATATTAACATGGTTTTAGCTTCTTCAGCAGGCATATGCTTTACATGTAGTTTTCAAGGGCCATTTTCTACATGGCAGAAACATGTGACAGCTATTGGTGTTTCCTTTTCCACTTGTGGTTTCAAATTACCCCCGAAAAAAACTGAACCACAAAGAAGTTGTCAATAATACAAAAGGAACATGTGTATGACATACAGACCATCTCTTAAGCATATTATTACTTATTTATTTATTGAAATTTTTTTGAGTAGGGCTGTCTCTTAGCAGATAATTATTGTTTATTTAGATTTAAAATAGAATATTGATTTTGTCACCCCCTTTGGAGATAAATTTAACGCCTCAATTCCCCAAAATTGATTTATTTATTTAACTAAAAATTCAAACATATTTGTATTTGGTGATTCTTTTCCACAATTATGTTTGTCAAATCCACACAGATCACCTCACACACACACAGTAAATAAATTGAAATATTTATCAACAAATATTATGTGAAGTAAACAAAGAAAAACTCCGCTAGCACTTCAAAATTGTTTACTGAAAAAAAAAACAAAACGCATTAAAACTATAACTGCTCTAAACTCCAGACTATTCGACTAGGTGATGACACGCATATTTTTTCTTAAACACCAAAAGTTAAATAGAGAAAAAAACAAAATAGCTGAGAAAGTTAATTTTTTTCTTTGCTGTTAACAAATTTTAACCTTGCACTGTTTTAATGGTTGCTGTACGTCTCTAACCTTTGAAGACAAGAAACATTTGGCCAACAGATACTTTTTAGCCAAAACGAGAAGAAAATAATTTAAGTGGCTCGACAAATGATCTATAATAGATGAATGGTGTAAATATTATACTACTAATTTTTGTTATTCTATTTTTTAAGATACCAAATGAATTTGAACCGCTAATAACGTCTTTATGTTATGGAAGACCGAACTTGTTGTGGGATATAAGATTGTAGTATCTGAGGCCGTACCTCTCCATCTTAAAATCTTTATATTTCATTTTGTTAAATATGTCCTGTAACGCAATGGATAACACATCATTATGGGCGGCACTTAGGTTTTATTGTTAAAAAATGGGAATAATGTTTATGAAAAAAGGAGTAATTTGGATATAAGCAATTCAATACATTCCTATGACCTTCAAATTTGCTTATTAAATCATTTTAAGACCTTAGCAAGTACCATGTCCAATTAGACACTCTTTGCAAGCCCACATTCCTATGTGCATATGTTCGTGTTAATATTAATCTTCAAAAAAAAAGAGTCCAAATAAAATATTAATTAGCAAATGCATTCGTGCTTAAAGATACTTCGCCATTTCTTAGTTCTCCTCTAATAAACTTTCATCATTGTTTTTTTTTACTTTTTAATTTATATTATTTTTTTGAATATAATTTTTTATTACTTGTTTATTAACAACGACATTTAGTCATAATTAAAATGCGTTTTTAGCGGAGTTTTAATACCACTCATTTTGATGTTGGCGGCTTGTTAAGCGCCACAAAAGCCGACAAATATCTGACAAAATAGACCTGAGTAAGGCCGATCAACAAAAGTAAGGGTGGGAAATTTTATTGTAATTTTTTTCACCGTCATATTTGTTGTTGTTGGTTTTTTAATGAAAATAAAGCGGTTTTATGTTTAAGTTAGTTTTTTTCTTTTCTTAATGAATATTCGTTGTCACTTAAGGTGAGCGTGTGTGTGTGAGTCACTTCAGTGTGCCTGCATTTGTTAGTAGTCAAAGGGAATATTAAATTTCTTTAGTTGTTTTTGCTGACTATATTTTGCGGCCACAAACTGCATGGCATTTTCAAACAATGGAAATTACTTAATGAAGACATAAGTAATGCAACCGCCTTACTACTAGCCTGGGATATAGTTGGAGTTTATTTAGAAATGTCACATTAATGGCATAGGGGGAGAGACCAACCGAATATACATATGTTTTATTTATGACAAGAAGCAGAAAAAACAGCTGATTCATGGTTTTCTATGGCTGAGGTGACTCTAAAAGGCAATAAAAAAGGTTTGCCCAGAAGGCAGGAAAGTTTCACTGGGAAACCAAAATGGAAAAAGGTGCAAAATTGCATTAATTTAAAGAGAAATTCCAGAAATTATTAATTATGAAGAAAAATGTTTATAAAAATAAGAAAAAAATGAATGGAGTGGATTTAAGAAACGAAAATTAATTAAACGGGAATGAAGAGACGCTACATTTGATTGAAGCTGTTAATAATTTGTCATTTATTTCAAGAAGTTAGTTTAAAAATGTCCGGTAACGTAATGGAGAACATATCAGAGAATGGAGATAACATATCAGTTGGATCTAATTATATTTAGGTGTTTTAATGACTTTTTAAACAAACTGTATATCTTAAGAACAGAAGTCCTAATTAAGTTTCAAGTGTAGATGTAAATATTTAAAATTAATAATGAAAAATATAAATTAATCTGCATTGAGATAAAAATATTTTTTCTCGAAGTAGAATCACAGTCAAACCACAAAAATTCTCGCCTCAATGTAAAATTAAAAAAACACACTGAAGCAATTTCTATAATGATAAATATATTGAAGTGATTAATTTCTTTTCGTATTTGTATTTCTTTAAAAATATATAAATGCGCATTTCTTCTTACAAAAAATTTTATTTACATACAGCGTCTTATCACTCCAACCAACCAAGGTTGTGATTAATCCGAGTAAATGGTTTGCAAAATTCCAAGAATAGAAATAATTCTATTATATGAACGTGTAAACATTTTCCAGTGCATTTTTTGCTATTTTAATAACAGTTTTTTATTATTGTCGAAATATGAATCATTAACTTGAGTGATAGCCAATAAAAACAATTAGATTTTAAATTGAAGCATTTGTTGGTGTTTTTGATAAGAAGGTCTTATCTAAAGTAGAATCGGAAGTACTGCGAGGTGATATTTTTTTGTTGGATTGTGTTTTGAACATTAATTACTGTCATAATAAATGTTTATTGAGTAAATAAACGAAAAAGAAATCTAAAACGTCAGGAGGGAATTTTAATTTTTTTAATAGAAAGCATAATATGAGAAATGTTGATCAACTTAAATAGATGTATTAATGTTATGAAAAAAAAATTTGTAATTTTCCAGTAATGCTGTTTCATATGAATTCAAAGAAAAAGTAAATTTGTTCTAAACTGTTTGTTTATATGTCCTGTAACGCAATAAATAACATTATAACCTAAATCGTAGGTATATTTTATTTTGTATTTTTTGTGATTTTTTAATAAACATTATTTTAAAAATTGGAAATAACCTGTGACGTTAAACCCCAATAGATTAGTTCATAGCAATGGCCAAACATTTAGAATAGCATTTAAACATATAGAGAACAAATCTGCGCTGAGGACGCATGCCCCAAAATAATAAAATTCAGCCAACAGCTTCTATTATAAAAATGTCCAATAAATCATATAAATCACTACAAAACGTTGGGCGCCACCTAATACACACCTCTCCACAGAACATATGACTTCCCTTAACGTTTACTGTTCATCATCTCTTCCGATGTGATGAACAGCATTGAAATTCATGGAAATCTGCAAAGGCCAGAGGTGTTTTAATGAAATTCATTTAAATCAATTTAAATTGCTTAATTTTTCACTAAGCCATACAAAAGACCGACCGACCACACATACGACAACAATAATTCCACAAAGTCTGGCGTTGAGATTTGTTTTCTGTATTTTTTTATTTCATTTTTTTATAATTGTTCAATTGTGTGTGCAAAGAGCACAGAGTAGAAAACTCCTTAAAAGCATTCAAAGCACATAACAACAAAAATCGATTTTTTCGAAAATTTCGGTTTACCCTGACATTGATTTTTGCCCAGCAAGTGATCGTCAACGACAGGAGAATATATTTTGAGAAGCAGACTAAATGCCTGGTTGGCTGACTGGTGTTTTTGAAAATCTGACATCAGCTTAAAGGCGCATATATGAGGTATTTTTTTAAAGTTTTTTTTAGTTGCATTTTCATTGTGTGTAAGGAAACTCGTTGGAAACTGGATTCCACGTCAAGACGAGGAGGCGAAGAATGAAGGCAGTTATATCGACTGATTCTGATACAATCTCCTCCATATAGAATTGTTTTAACCATTAAAAAACAAAACGAAAACTTACAAAATAATTAAATTCAGAAAAAATTAAAATTCAATTTGCGAAAAACACCAAACACTGCTACTAACTGGACAAGACGACCAACAGTAGCAACATTTAAACCAGGCGGCTGATTTAGGCTTGTCGCAGATCAACGAAAAACTTAACTGCCATCACAGCTGCTGTTGTGGTGGCTGGCTGGCTGGCTGACTGACTGGGCTACTGCTGATTTAGCAAAATAAGGAAACCCAACCTCGGTGGCAGAGCAAAAATTCTCAAGAATTCTAGCTTAAATATTCTAAAACGAAATACAAAATTCGAAAAACTTACCTTAGCACCAATTTGGTTGCCACATTGACCGGCTTGCAAATGAACGATTTCCCTCATATTGATTTGGTGTTTTTGGGTTTTCGAAAACTGGGATAAAAACGGTGATCGAGTTTTGTTCGCTTGGGTATAAATCACGTTTTCTAAAGCACTGTTTTAGCACGTTTTTTTCTTGTATTGGCTTTTTGGTTCGTTTCTTTTTACGGTTAGCTTAGAGTGTGAGAGGGTTGCTCTTTTTGTGATCCCCAAACTAGACAGGAAGAATCCTTTGGCACTGTGTTATGTTTTTTTTACTTTAATTTACAAGGATATTTGAATTTCACAAACAGTTCTTTTTTTGTTGTTGTTACTTCTCTAGAATTTTTTTCTTCCACAAAGCAACAAAACGACGACAAGACAGAGAGAGGAGGACGCACACTTGATATCCACTCGACTTACAAAACTCAACTGATCGGTTGGGCTGTGCGCTTTCGTGCAAGAAGCATTTTTGCCGGCTTCACAAATTTTCAGCCCCCCATTGTTGTTGCTATTGTTGCCGTTGTATGGTGTGCGCCGCTATCGTAAATGTTCTTTGGTGGATATTTGTTGTTGTTGTTGCTGCTTGTGTTATGTTGGGTTGCTTGTGTTGTACGGTCATCGTCGTCGCCGTCATCGTTTTCAACCAACCGTTGAACGTCGCAAATGGCTTCATATCATCATCTTCATACCAAACCATCGAACAATGGCATTGCCATCCGTTGTTTGGGGTTATGTATGAAATGATTGAACGAACCGACAAATCTTCAAATTTCCTGTATGTGAGTGTGTGTGTGTGTTTCATAAAAAATAAATTATGAAAATAACTGATCGATGATATTTCTCACCAGTATTCATGAACTAAAGGTGTTTCTTTTAAGAAAATATTCAAAAATTTACCTTAACTGGGGAGATAACAATTTTCCTTAAATTTTTCTTTTACAGGGGTGTTCGGTAGCAAAATATTAAAAGTTGATTGTACCAGCTAACCGTCCTCCAAATTTAATTTAGCTAAATTATTATAGAAAAATTATATGTATAGGAAATTGTCTTGAGCAAGTCAATTCGATGAGTTTGGAAGTTGAATAGTGTTAATAAGAATTTAAAATTCAATCCCTGATGATGATCATAGACAAGGGTTGAAATATTAACAAAAAAAATAATTTAAAAATGAAAACAAAAAAATCATTTTTAATTTTCATTCAACTTCACGTCTGGACTGTAGTTTGGCATTCCGGGTAACTTGGTGGGTAAAACAATTATTTGTAGAAAATTTTCGAAGAAGTTCCCAAAATAATAAATTGTAGCCAAGCCTCCCAAAAATGTCAAGTATTGGCGTGGCTACCGTTACATGGGGCTATGCTCAAAAGTGGGCCGATATCGATAATTTTTGAATAGAAAACGCCCTACCAAAAATTATCCATATTGCATCCATATTTACAGGTTTACCAAAGATTCGGTATTTTGAGGTTTTTGGGCATGTTTTTCATTTGAGTTCATTAGAGTATATATAATTAGTAATTAGGCACCGTCACATAACACCATAACATAGTCCCCATATAAATGTTAAAGGTTATAAAAAGTTTACCGATCGTCGTTCCCGGTCGCTCCATAGGCCGCAATTATAACCCAAACATTGCGAAATTATACATGGAGAAGAGGGTCGGACGAAAGAATAAGCATGACAGTTTTGATAAAGATTTGTCAATATTTTGCGAGTCAAATGGACCCTGATTTTTGAGTGAAAAATTAGAAAATTGTATTCTATGGTGTATATATTTACACACAGACAGAGAATTTGATAGTATATACAAGAGGAGTGCTTGACCTTTAAATTAATATCAATAATACTGTCGTATGTGCTAGGATGTGAGAATTACACTTAAATACTTACAGTTGCTTACTTATTCATATATTAGGTTGAGGAATAAGAAATACATTTTTTTGTGTAAATGGCTTAAAACATGGTCGATTTTTAGCTCCTGGGCGATGTCAATTCTCCGCGATGCGAGGTGCATCTTTAACATCAAAAATTTCTGAACGGAATCTACGAAACCAAAATAGCACCAAATTGGCTGTTACAGTATCAGAACCATAAACACCATTCACAATTTGGGTGCGAAATGTCACCCTTACAACAAGCATAAATCTGAAAATGTTTGATCGATACTTTACGAGAAATCTATCAGTACAGCCATCTGCTGAAAAATTGATTTTTTTCCCAACTTAATATGTAATACTTATTTATTTCATAGTTATTAATATTTTTATTAAGGTTCCACATTTAGTTCCATTTAGCACTTTTCGAACACATAAGTACACATTTTCATGACTACTTCCATACCACCACCACTAAATTTACTTCTTCTTTCTAACTTTACGTCAGTGACCCACATTCCAAATTTTAGGTTTCCAAAGTTATCTGCATATTCAAATTTACGTACACTTCAACAAGTTATATCCATAGCTCAATACTACACTTCAACAGTAATCTAAATCTCAGGATTCAACAAAATCCAAATTGTTTCAAATTTAGTACCATTTAGTACTTTTCATACTCATAAGTAAGAATTTCTAAAACTACATCAATCCTACACTATAACAGTAATCCAAATTCTACCAAAGTCCAAATTGTTCCAAATTTAGTATTTTTCGTACTCATAAGTACAAATTTCCAAATGTACCTCAGTCCTGCTTTCAAATAGTAATCATAAGTCCAAATTTAATAATTTCATCACTGTCTGTTCACCAAAAACCAAATTGTACCAGATTTGGTACCGTCGTGTACTTTTCGTACCCATATTCCAAACCTGTAGTAATCCCATACTCCCACAGTAATCTAAGTTGCAACATGCAGGATTCGAATTCTTCCCGTTTACCAAATTCCAAATTCTACCAAATTTGTCCTTTTCGTACCCATATGTACGAATTCCCAAAACTACTTCATGCACTCCAATAATAACTTTTAGTCCACATTTAAGGTTTCCAGCTCTATCCGTTTACCATCATCCAAATTGTACCAAATATAGTACCATTTATTACTTTCCGGAGACCTGAGTACGATATTCTAAAAATTCCTCAATTCCACACTCCAACAGTAATTGTAATCATAAATATCAGGATCAAAGCCCTAACCGTTCACATATATCTAAATTATACCATATTTAGTACTGTTCGTACTCTAGCAGTAATTTTATATTCAAATATAAGTTTTCCAAATTTAGTACCATTTAGAGCACGTAATGACGAATTTTCAAAACTACCGACACATCTCAATCCTGCACTCCAACTGTAATATTAATTAAAAATTTCAGGATCTCAACCCTATCCGTTCACACAAAAACAAATTGTAAACTATTTGGTACCATTTTCTTTAACACTAATTTAATTTCCGCAATTCTGGAGTCCAGCTCTATCCGTTCACACATAATCAATTTGTACCAAATATAGTACCACTTAGTACACAAAATTCCAACAGCAACCATTATTCCAAATTTTAGGTTTCCAGCTCTCTCCTTCATCCGAATCCAAATTGTTCCAAATCTAGTGCCGTTTAGTACTTTCCGTACACATAAATACGAATTTCCAATGATGTCTCAATTTTCAAAAGTAATCTTAATTCCAAATTGCAGTTTTTCAGTTCTATCCTTTCAAGCAAAATCCAAATTGTACTAAATTTAGTACTTTTCGTATCAATAAGTACGAATTTCGTAAACTATCTCAATCCTACACTCCAACAATCATACTAATTCACAATTTGAAGACTCCAGCTCTATCTGTTCACCTACATCCAACTTGCATCAAATTTAGTACCACTTACCATATATATATATATATATGCAATATTGCCAATTTTTTAATATTCCATTTTCAAAAAATCAGCTTTTTTGTTTTTGTGGCACATCAATGATTTTTGGTACACGTATAGAGAAAAATGTTCTGACTCCGAAACCGTTCGCAATAAAATTTTTGGTTGATGCGCGCAAAAGTTATCGAGGTTTTAATTTTGGGCATAAGAAAAAATCTTAAAATTACGCCGTTTATTATATTGACCAAATAAATAAGAATATGTATATATTATAATATTAGCAATAAAGTTGCACATCTTCGCGAAACATGAGAAAAATAAAAAAATATAGCAGATTACATCAATATTTTCATTATATTAATGACATACACACACCTAAAAATTAATTTAAAAATATCTACATAATCTAAACACCATGATGAATCAAATGATATCAAAATCACACAAGTCCGCGTCGCGGTTTGTAAATCACAGCGACAACAAAACAAGATATTGAGGAAAAATATTTATTTTTGGTTCGAAAAAATAGTGTCATCATATTTATTTTTTTTTAATTTTATACAAGAAATTTCAGAAAAAAATGTTGGGGCTATTCTGCTATTCTACCGAAATTTCGCCGAAACATTGACATATATAAAAATAATACCCTTTTTGTGTATAAGTATACGCCTTGCGGATTATATGATTATGAAATATACATTTTAAAATGCGTCTACAACGCGTAATTCTCAAAATCATTTGATGCGCATGCGGTTTCCAGGAAGTACTGAAGTTCATCTTCCAATTCATATATATTTTGCGAAATTTCATTTGACGGCTAAGATGTGCCACACGTTTCATTGAAGTACCCAAAAAATCGTAAAACGCGAATAATTTCCGAAAACCGATTTCAATATGGTCCATTAAGAACCATGGATGTGCCACCTTACACTATTTTTGAGATAAATTGGGTACATCTCTCTTTCGGCTGAAGTTTTTAAAGTTCTCTTTTCGAAAAAGATCAAAATCCGTATGAGGTCATTTATTGAAGCGGAAATGATCCACAGAAAACGCAAATAAATCCGCGATATTTTCAAAAACATTTTTTGCCAAATTTCGTGTTTTTGGAAGGCCAGTTCCCGCCGTTCTAGTAGATGGATTTTCACGAAGAAGATTTTATATCACCCGAAACGTAAAAAACTTTATTGATCGCGGGTACCCATATCATTCAGTTGACAGATCGAAAAATGTGGCCCGAAAAATAGGTTTTTTAGAAATTTGATCGCACAAAATT